GGCCGGCCCCCGGGGACCCCCCAGCCTGGTCCCGGGAAGAGGCGGAGGGCTGGGTGGCATCGGGTGGCTGGTTCATGCCGTGCCAGGTGAAGGGTCTGCTGGCTGGGTGCTGGCAGACTTGCACCTGGCACGGGCACCGTAGCCAGCCCGTGCCCCTTTAAGGGGTCCGGAGCCGGGAGGGGGCCAGAAGAGTTTCCCTGGTGGTGCCCAGAGTGGCCACCAGGGAAAGCTGGGGAGGGCTAGCCTCCCACTAGTTCGAATTAAGGGGCTACACAGCCCTTAATTCGAACTACTTTATTCGAACTAGGTGTTAGTCCTCATAGAATGAGGTTTACCTAGTTCGAATTAAGCGCTCCGCTAGTTCGAATTAAGTTGGAACTAGCGGTTTGTATGTGTAGCACCTATCAAAGTTAATTCGAACTAACGTCTGTTAGTTCGAATTAACTTTGTAGTGTAGACATACCCTAAGGTACTTACTTCTTCAGGAAATCTGCATTATATTAAGGCTAACAAACTAGCTAATATGGCCCTCTTTTATTTAACGGAACAATCATACAGAATGGCATGGTGAAAGGTCCTCTTCCTGAAAGTGCATGTATTATGCATGTGTTACTTCAGTAACTGGAATCAGAGAGGCTGTGGCTTCTCAGCCAAATAGTGTCCAGGTCATGCTGTAGCACATCACAGAAGTTGTGAATCTTATCAGTATCCTGGCTGAGACTGTGCCTTGGGATTGCACTTTTGAGCAATACTGTCACCTAGAACTTCAGGAGCAACTTGGATGTTGAAACATTCCCAAGATGCAAACCTCTCTCTTCAGGGGTAGAAGGTGGGATTATCTATTATGATCTCATGTGCCCTGGCATCATCACTGTCATGTGAATTGATTTTTGGCCAGTTCACTCTCCTCCATTGCCGTTTGTTAGCATACAGATCACAGGGTATCTACTGAAAATATATAGCACACTTGTAATCTTCTTTGAAAAAGCAAAAAACCTCAACCTTTCGGTAATGTCAATACAAATTTTAAAATGCCTGCATAATCCACCTCTCTGCCCTGCCTCAAACTGAAGCTGGACCAAGGTTAAGGCTTTGAAAACATGATGTCTTGCATATGATGTCTTGTGATAGTGTCACAAGCCATTATTTCCATTAAAACATTCTTGTTCACTAACAATGAGCAAGCACAAAGGTAAAGGTGACCCATGCCAAATTTAATCTCTCAGCGTCTGACTGGTAATCAGATTGTGTTCATTAAGAGCAGTCAGCAATAGAAAAACAATGTTATTAAATACCAGTTTCTAGCACAGTAATGCAATAAAGATGATGTAGGGGATTGCAAAGAACAACAAAACATGGGAAATAGCAGCTTAGCTGTGAACAAAAAGATGTGTCTCTGCTCCACTTCTCTGCCCTAGGGCCTGTTGCGTTCAGTATTGTAGTAAGCTGCACCATATTATTCATATATCATGCTGCTGAGAGTAAACTTGGAGGGTGTTTTGAAGAAAGTGCTAAAATGTAAATCAGGGAACCAAAAATGTAACTAGGCAGAGCTAGTTTCTATAGCCTGTGAAATTGGCACAGAGGGTTGGTTCCCTTGGAGCCATGACTGGTTTTTTTTCCCACTCCCCATCATCCCTGCTTTGCCTCTTGGGGTATCTTTTTTTCTTTCTTTCCCTCTGTGCTCTCCATAGAATATTGTAATTGTCTCGACCAAGAATATATGGGTTCTCCTTGGAAGTTCTTCTAGAGTGTTGAGATAGCTTTATTGTGTTGTGCTCTGTAACTTCAATTTTAATAACATTAATTTTTTATATTGTGTACACTGTATTGACTCTGTTATCTGCTGTTAGCTCCAGACTGAGAAGTAGAACACCAGAGATTATAGATATTGACTATTGTGAGGAAGAAGTATATTCATCATTGCAGTTTCTTTCTCCACATGCCCCTTTCCCTCCTCCCCGTCCTTGGCAATGTTGTTAACTCCTGATTGTATGGTAAGTCTCATAGGGTATGTCTACACTACCACCCTAGTTCGAACTAGGGTGGTAGTGTAGACATACCCATAAAGATATAAAGAAGGTAGATCAGAAACATTACATATTAAAGACCAGGGTGTGTCCTAATTCGGGGGCCAGATTATCCTACACCTGCCTGTTTATAAGTTTCTTCTCTGAAGCATCTTGTACTGGCCACTGTCAGAAACAGGATAGTGGATTAGATGGACCACTGGTTTGATCCAGTCTTGCAGTCCCTGGCTATGACTACACTGGTGGGTTCTTGCGCAAGAGTTCCTGTGCAAGAACCTTGCACAAGAACACGTCCACACGGCCATGTGCTTTTGCGCAAGAGCATCCATGGTAGTGTAGATGCTGTCTTGCACAAGAAAGCTCTGATGGCCATTTTAGCCATAGGGCTTTCTTGTGCAAGAAACCCCTGCCATGCGTCCACACTGCCCTCTTGCGCAAGGGCTCTTGTGCAAGAGAGCTTACAGTTGTTAGAAAAGAGCGTAGCTCTTGAGCAAGAAGCCCTCTTCCCATGCTTTACTGTAAATCTTCATGCACAAGAGTGGGCAGACTGTGTGGATCCTCTGCGGATTCTTGCGTGGACTCCCCAGCTGATCTCAGGCTCCACGTGCATTATTTCAAAGTGCGCAGAGCCCAGGGTTAGCTGGGGAGTCCTGAGCTGAACCTGGCTCCGCATGGCATTTCAAAGTGGCAGTGCCACATGGAGCTTGGGGTCAGTGGGGGACTCTGATTCCCCCACTTACCCCAGGCTCCATGTAGGTGCTTTTGCTTTGAAATGCACAAGAGCCCCCATTGGGGACTGTTTTACTTTTCAAAGCTGGCACACTGCATGCAGCCTGGGGCCAGCAGAAAATCTCACTGACTCCGGGCTCCACATGGGTGCTTCTGCTTTGAAAGTGAATGGAGCCCTGAGTCAGCTGGACTTCCAACTGGCCTGGGCTGCATGCAGTGTGCCAGCTTTGAAATGTACAAGAGTCCCTCCTGGGGCTCTTGTACATTTCAAAGGAGGAACACGGAAGTGCCTATCAACTAGTTGAGTAGTCAATGGACTATTAGTTGAGTAGTCAATTGACTACTAGTTGAGTAGTCAATTCCATTGACTTCTCAATTAATAAATTAACCGATATTTAGCACTCTTAGTTGTATCTCTTCAAGAATTGTTGTTGCACAAATGTGCCCCATCGTTCAAACTCATTTTGTATTCAGATAGACAGATAATGGACTTGCATGCATCTTTCTCTCTCTTGTGATTCACACACAGGCTTAACATGGCCTGATAAAAGTGGGTCATACTTGCTAAGAAGCAGAAGTGTACTGAGAAAGTTTCTGTTTTGTTCCAGTGAATGTATCAGTGACCCTATAAACAAAATCAATCCCCGTTCAGAAAGAAAAAGAATGACATTCAATATGCACTCAAGGAGTTTTTTCCAGTTATCAGTTTCTATTTATTTCACTTGAGAGTAAGTTTTCAATTGAACTGTCAGCTAGTGCTGCTCTACTAGCTGATTTCCATGTAATATAGTTATCTTTATGCGATACTGAAATTTCATGTGAAAGTATTTGATCTTTCAACTTCCACCAACCTCTACTGATACTCCAACTGTATGGATCAGACAGTACTGATGCATTTGAAGTATTACTGTTAAAAATGAAACAGGGTACACTGTACAGAGACTGCCTTTCCATGCTTCAGCAGAGCCAGTCTCTTGTGTAGATCTCTCCATTTGGAAGAGTTTTTGTCAGCAGATGAGTGGGAAAAGCATGGTTCTCCGCATTTTTCAATACAGTATATTATTTGGAATCTGAAAACAACTAACTTTGAGAAACGACTACATTTGAACAATTCTTATCAAGAAGTCCAATATAAGGTTCTGATGCCTCTGTTGTTACACTGTGTCCTGTGCTAGTCATAAGTTCTTGCTCTAGCTGTGCAGCATCTCTGAGGTCCTCATTTTCTGCCTGCATAGTCTCTAAATCAAGCATAGATTCTGCATCTGTCACTACTGTTGTCATTTCTGTGTCTTGATTAATGACCTCCTCATTTTGAGGCAGTGGCATTGAAATGTCATTTGTGGGTACAAAGTTTTCATCATCAGAACTGGAAGTGTCACTGTCAGTTTGGTCACTGTCTAATGGCTGAGGCATCTTTTCTATGTTAAATGATGTTATTGGCTTTAAACTCTTAATTGCTGCTTCACTCTGTTGCTCTCACCGTCTCTCACTTGCACCACTTTCAAATCTTCATTTCATTTTTATAAAGGGGTGCTTTTAAAACACAGTAACACACAATAAACTAATTTGCTAAAGACTACTTATTATACAAAATTTTAATTGTATATATTTTGCAATGAATATTATATAATAACTAGCCAATTAGCCCGTCATAAGACGGGATTTTCAGGTCTCTCCTCCACATCGGTCTTCTCTCCTGAGCCTCCGGTCTCTCACGCCGTCTCTCTCTCTCTCTCTCTCTCTCTCTCTCTCCTACTGCCTCCCCCCCTCTCTCTTTCAGCCCTCCTCCCCCTCCTGCCTCTCCCTCGGGGGACCATGGAGCCCAAACTCCCCATGCTGCTTGGGGAGCATGGAGCCCAAACGGTCGCTTGAGCCACTTGCTCCCACGCGGCGGCCTGGCTGAGCGGCGCAGAAGTCAGCTGAGTGCCACAGCGGGGGGCGAAGGGGGGCGGGGTGGTGACGTTCACAGCCAGGGGGCGGGGCCTGGAACCGCTGTCATGCTGCATATCACCACCCCGCCCCCCCTTCACCTCCCACCATGGCACTCGGCTGACTTCTGCACCGCTCAGCCAGGCTGCCGCGCGGGAGCAAGTGGTGCAAGTGACCGTTTCGGCTCTGCAGTCCCCCAAGTGAGAGGCAGGAGGAGGAGGAGAAGAGGAGGAGGAGGAGAAGAGATAGAGATGGAGAGAGAGGTAGAAGGCGGACAAGAGCTGAGAGAAAGGGGAAGACAGTAGGAGGAGAGAGAGAAAGACGTGGAGGAGAGACCCAAAAATCCCGTCTTATGACGGGCTATTGGCTAGTTGGTCTATAATCTGTTAACTTGTGCAACTCCTTACCCAGTGGTTTGATGACACTGCCTTTCAAAAAGGTGTTAAACTATTTTCTTTTTCTGAAGGTAACCTTTTGGGTTTCAGAGAGAAAAGCTATAGAACGTTCATTACCGGAATTGTTAAAATTATGAAAATAAAGCTATTTGGATCTGAGACCATTTATTACAGAGTGTAATTAGGTTAAATCTAGAGTCTAGTCATCATTCTAATTAAAGAGACACTACACCCTTTCAAGTTTAGCTTAATATCTATACATTATCACATTTCCATGAAAGTACTGAATAAAAACCCTTTCAGGTTCTTAGACTATGCCCACCATGGTAGTATCTGAACACCAGTGCAGAGAAAGATGCAGCAGTAGCCCCTTTGAAGTCAAGGGGACTATTCGTAACAATAAACACTGTGCTCAGTAGTGTTCGCAAGATCAAGCCCTTTGCATCAGTGGAGGCTGGTGACATCTGAGCAGGTGGAGGTAAATCTGACCTGTGCCAGACCTTAAAGCTTATTTCAAAGTCTTGAAATTTCATCAGCTAACATGTTCCTGTTATTAAATTCCCCTAATAACTGGTGTGTTGTTATAAATATGAACATAGGGCAATTAGATATAAAGTTCATTATACAACTAGAATTAAAAGTTTACTATCACAAAAAAAGTCTTTAAAAGTGAATCTAAAACTGGGCAAAATAACTTATTTCAAAATAATAACTCTCAAAATAACTATTTCGAAATAGCATCTCCACGCTATAGGGAAGCCTCAAAATTAGTCCGAGGCAGGCTCCTTTAATGTGGATGCGCTACCTTGACTTAGAGCCCCCAGAAGCACCGGGGAGTAATTTTTTTGAATGACTCTGGGGAGTCATTATTTTGAGTGAGAGTGATCATGAAACATAGCGTTCATGATTCTAAAGAATAGTAGAAGGGAGAACAGCAAAATAGAGACAATGGATTTCAGGAAGGCATATTTTGGTAAACTCAGAGAGCTGGTAGGTAAGATCCCATGGGAAGCAAGAGTAGGAGGAAAAACAACTGAAGTGAGTTGGCAGTTTTTCAAAGGGACATTATTAAGGGCCCAAAAGCAAGCTATTCTGCTGTGCAGGAAAGATAGAAAGTATGGCAAAAGATCGACTTGGCTTAACCAGGAGATTTTGTATGATCTAAACATCAAAAAGGAGTCACATAAATAGTGGAAACTAGGGCAAATCACAAAGGATGAATATAAGCAAATAATACAGGTATGCAGGGTCAAGATAAGAACGGCAAAGGAACAAAATGAGCTTAAACTAGCTATAGACATAAGGGCAACAAAAAGACTTTCTACAAATATATTAGAAGTAAGAGGAAGACCAAGGACAGGGTAGGCCCATTGCTCAGTCAGGAGGGAGAAACAATAACAGGAAAAGAGGTGCTTAATAACTTCTTTGTTTTGGTCTGCACCAAGAAGTCTGATGATGAAGGAATGCCTAACATAGTGAATACTAGTGGGATTGGGGTAGCTTTAGAAGATAAAATTAAAAAAAGAACAAGTTAAAAATTACTTAGAAAAGTTAGATGTCTGCATGTCACCAGGGGCTGATGAAATGCATTCTAGAATTCTCAGAGAGCTGATAGAAGAGGTGTCTGAGCTTTTAGCTATCATATTTGAAAAATCATGGAAGACAGGAGAGATTCCAGAAGACTGGAAAAGGGCAAATATAGTGCCCATCTATAAAAAGGGAAATAAGAACAACCCAGGAAACTATAGACCAGTCAGCTTAACTTCCGTGCCAGGCAAGATAATGGAGCAAGTAATTAAGGAATTCATCTGCAAACATCTGGAAGATTATAAAGTGATAGGTAACAGCTAGCATAGATTTGTAAAGAACAGATCGCATCAAACCAATCTGATAACTCTCTTTGATAGGATAACAAATCTTGTGGATAAGGGAGAAGCGGTGAACGTGGTATATCTAGACTTTAGTAAGGCATTTGATATGGTTTTGCATGATCTTCTTATCAATAAACTAGGCAAATACAACTTAGATGGGGCTACAATAAGGTGGGTGCATAACTGGCTGGATAACCTTATTCAGAGAGTAGTTATTAATGGTTCACAGTCATACTGGAAAGGCATAACAAGTGGGGTTCTGCAGGGGTCTGTTTTAGGACCAGTTCTGTTCAATATCTTCATCAATGATTTAGATTTTGGCATACAGAGTATGATTATTAAATTTGCAGATGATACCAAGCTGGGAGGGGTTGCAAATGCTTTGGAGGATAGGGTCATCATTCAAAATGGTCTGCAGTAAATAGGATGAAGTTTAATGAGGACAAATGCAAAGTACTCCACTTGGGAAGGAACAATCAGTTTCACACATACAGAATGGGAAGCAACTGTCTAGGAAGGAGTACTGCAGAAAGGGATGTAGGGGTACTAGTGGACCACAAGCTAAATGTGAGCCAGCAATGTGACACTTGCAAAAAAAGCAAACATGATTCTGGGATGCATTAACAGAAGTGTTGTTAGCAAGACACGAGAAGTCATTCTTCCGCTCTACTCTGCGCTGATTAGGCCTCAATTGGAGTATCATGTCCAGTTCTAGGCACCAGATTTCAAGAAAGATGTGGAGAAATTGGAGAAGGTCCAGAGAAGAGCAACAAGAATGATTAAAGGTCTAGAGAACATGACCTATGAAAGAAGACTGAAAGACTTGGGTTTGTTTAGTTTGGAAAGAAGAAGACTGAGAGGGGGCATGATAGTGGTTTTCAAGTATCAAAAAGGGTGTTTACAAGGAGGAGGGAGAAAATTTTTTCTTCTTGGTCTCTGAGGATTGGACAAGAAGCAATGGGCTTAAACTGCAGCAAGGGAAGTTTAGGTTGGACATTAGGAGAAACTTTCTAACTGTCAGGGTGGTTAAACACTGGAATAAATGCCTAGGGAGATTGTGGAATCTACATCTCTGGAGATATTTAAGAGCAGGTTAGGTAGGCATCTGTCAGGGATGGCCTAGAGGGTGCTGGGTCCTGCTGTGAGGGCAGGGGACTGGATTCAATTTCCTCTCAATGTCCCTTCCAATTCTAATGTTCTATGATTCTATGAAATAGCAACAATGGAGTGTCCACATTACTTCAACTTCAAAATAACTATTTCAAAATAAGTGTTGTTCCTCGTGGACAGCAGGCATTATTGAGATAACCAGTCTCTTATTTTGAAATAACGGGCTTGGTAGTGTGGACACTCCGCTTGTTATTTCAAAATACGGGGAATTATTTTGAAATAACTCCCTAGTGTAGACCAGAGCTCTGAGACTAACAAAAATAATATGTAGTATCATGAGCTTTTGTGAGCAAAACCCACTTATTGGAAACCTGGTATACTGCAGAGGTGTTGAGCTTGGTTTGCGGGAGAAAGAAATGAATGACTGACTTGTCATAGGCTACTTTAACAATCCAGCAGGCTTTTCTCAGAAACTATATGGAAATGCCATAAGTAAAAGAATAGGAACATCAACATTTTTCAATAAAAATCTCATAAGGACACTACAGTTTAAAATGGAAAGAGTATTGCAATCCTAATAAAATTTATACAATCTCTGGTATAGTTGGATCAGAGCTCTAAAGTGGATCAAAATTTGAGAACACCTCAAATGTCAAGTGTGCTTAGTTCTGGGGTTTCTTTTTATCTCAGGATACAGAGAATACAAAGAGGTCAGTGGAAAAATCTGGATTAGATCTGTGTTCTGCACTTGGACAAACTCTAAGCCATCCTCTAGGTTTTGAACAATTGACAAAAGAGCACAGGTTTTGTTGTCTTGCTTGTTGGTCTAATTTGTCCTATTTTAAGGAAGCTGTGAGGAGAATGTTGATGGGGAAGTTTTGTTATTTAAAGCTCTGTTCAACAGATCCACCATCACCACCAACTGCCAAAAATTAAATAAGTTTGGATTTGATATGAAATCATTATGATTGAAGAGACTTCAGTAAAATAGTCACTTGAATGCTGGAGAAACAATTTCTGTAGCTTGAACTCACAGAATAAAAGCTTTAGAAGGCAATCTCATCTCAGTATCTTCAAGTGGATGCATTTTGATATCAGGTTGCCATAGTAACTTCTGAAGGCGTACGACTTTTGCCTTGTTTAACCTGTTCTAAGCACAACTGTACTCTCAGTCTAAGGCTTCAGATGAGACCTTTTCTCTCTGCTTCTTTATTATTTGCATTAATTTTCTAGGTATTGATCCTCACGGAGGAATCAGAATTAAGGCTACAGTGCTGCCATGGCAGCACTCGGTATGTCCTTTTCATTATGTGAATTGGTTGTGGATACAGTTCCTTGCTTTCTTTTGAAGTAAGCAGGTCTGTAATGGAAGCTGTACTAAATTATTGCTCTTTGAACTGGTGACAAAAGATAGGTTGTGCTTTTTTTCTTCCTAAATTTGCATGTTCCTTCCACAGCAATGAGTGTATATAGACATCTCAGGAAAAAAATACCATTTTGGTACAAAATATCCTGCAGGAAAAAATCCAAATGACAGGAGAATTAGTCCATTTTTAGACACGATCCTTTATGTTGGTTGGTCTGTTTGTGTAAACTCTAAAATCTTAAGCAAATTTAAAGTGGGTGTTTTCTGTTTGCAAACCAAGGGGAAAAAAAGATAGATAAATCAGTAGCTATGCTGAAATGTGTAGTTTTGAACAGCTGACAAGATTTCACAGCATATAAAAGATTTTTTTTCCTGGACTTTGATTTATGGAGTTAATACATGATTGCTCTGTCCACAGGAATTAAAAAAATTACTCCTGAGTCCACACACACAGCAGAATTCTGCATTTGCTCCAAAAACAGGGTTACCATTTATATGCTTTTCCCATTGCGACACCTATTACATTTTTAAATGCCTTTCTCCCATCGTCATCAAATGTAGCTTATAAAATTGATGCCAGTCATTACTATGTTAATTTACTTTTCAGTTATATCATTATTTCCAACAGATTCTCCATGTTTATATAATTTAGGGTAGGGGTGGACAATAATACAATGACGGTTCGCCGGGGTTAGCCCCAGCAGCCTGCCGCTGCTTATATTAACTGCTCAGCCACAGGTACTGGTGATCGCAGCATCTGTTGGCTCTGGATTGCTGTTCCCAGCCAATGAGAGCAGCAGGAAATGGTGTGGACTGGGGCACAGCTTCCCACCCTCAAGAAATACCCAGTCAAAGGTGAAGTTATCCCTAAAAGCTGTAATAGTACCTCTAGGACATTATCAGCTGATAATGGCTGGGCAGGCAGAGGGCCAGGAGAGAGAAGCGAATTATCATCTTTAGTTGCCTATACCTGCTAGACCAGACACTTCTCATTGTTCCTTATTATTATCCCTGTTAGCTATGAGCCTTTTGCTTCCCCCGTGAAATTTTACCCTACTTACAAGCCTCTGAAAAATCTGTTCGCATATGGTAAGTAGAGACTTGGTAAACTTTGGCAAGTAAATTTTCTGAAGGTTCTGTCTGCACTGAGCATGATATTCCCTCCCTCGCAGCTCCTCCTATACACCCACTGCACTGTGCATATTCCATTTCCACCAAGAGACTGGGAATGCACCAATCCAGGGCTGCAGGGACTGAGTCTGGCTTTCGCCGCAGTTTCTCCTCCTGGCTGCAGGGCACCTGATCACAGTACAAGAAGACTCTCTCTCCTATGCTCTCAGTGCTATCACTGCTGGTGCCTAGGTGGCAAGGAAGAGAATGAAGTGGTTATATATAATGTAGAGAGGCAATGAACAGAACAATTGCTACCCACCCTTCATTCCGCTTCTGCTATTTGCCACGCTCACTAGTTCAGTTTAGTTTTGGTTGAAGTGTAAATTCTTTGCAGGCAGGGAACCTGTCCTGTTATGTCTTCTAAATATTAAGGGACTCTAAAAGGTTTTAGCATGGAAAGGAGGCTGCTTAGAGCAGGCTTGATTGAACCATCTAAACGAGGACAGGCCTGATATAAACTTGACTTTGTCAATTTCATGCGGTGAGTTTAAAAAAAATAAAGACAACTCTAGAATTAGATAATACACTCTTGAATGCTTCCCCCCCCTCAGAGAACTGCACATGTGTGTATTCCATGTACATCAAAATGACTCTTTCTCCCTCCCTCCCATCCATACCCTCCCCCCCCAAAACTGAGACTGCCTTTCAGAAGGACTGAGCTTACTCTGGCCCAGTTGAAACCATTGGCAGTTGAAGGTGCTTGGCACATGAAAATGTGACTGCTAGTTTATTTTATATTCATCTTTAGTTGTGCCATTGGAAATTTTTTCCGCTTACAAGTAGGGATGTAAGCGAGTAGTTGACTACCCAATAAGCCTAGGCTTATCAGGTAGTTGAGTGACTACTCTTTTCCCCTCCCCCCCCCCCCACCCAGGTAGGAATAGGGAGCTGGCTTAAAATCTGGTTCCCCCTGGCACCATCTAGGTGGTGTGTGCGGGGGGAGGGTTCTGGGGCAGAGCCGCAGTGGCCCCAGAGCCACCCTGGCTTGCACCGGCCCCGGGATCTACCTCCGTTATGGCTCTCCATTTTAAATGAAGTAGGAACTGCTAGGCTCTCAGTGCATTTAAAATGTAGAGCCGTAGCAGTCTTGGAGCCAGCGCGAGCCAGGACTGCTCAGACCTGGTTCGTGCCAACTCTGGGAGCTATTCTCACTGCAGCTCTGCAGTTTAAATGTACTAGGAGCAAAGCTGCCTGTGCACCCAGCTCCTCCTACATTTAGATGACAGGGCCAAAACGGATGTAGCTCCTGGAACCGGTGCAAGCTGGGATAGAGTGCCTCCCCGATCAACTAATTGTGTAGTTGATACAAATTATATCGACTACATGATTAACCAGTTACCTGCTTCTTAACAGCCTTACTTACAAACACTTTATAGTCAAATACCATGTATATTATGGGCTGCAATTTGCACCGTCTCTTGCAAACCAAAGGATGCCAACAATAGTAAAAATCAGTTGTCGGATTTATGTACAATTTATATAGGATATATCTTAGGGCCTCAGATTTTGATGGACCTCTAAATACAAAAAAAGACGGGTTTTTAGTTGCATTCTTGCCTATGTACTACTATGTATGCACATGTAAAACTTTATTTCTATTTTCATTATCCTTTCTGTTATAATAATAAATTTCTTTGGTAATGCTATGGGGCCTTTTAAACTTCTGCACCTAATGTCTGGAAGATAGCTAATGTGATGCTAATATTTAAAAGGGCTCTAGAGGTGATCCTGGCAATTACAGACTAGTAAGTTTAGCATCAGTACTGATCAAATTAGTTGAAACTATAGTAAAGAATAAAATTGTCAGACACATAGAGGAACATAATTTGTTGAGGAAAAGTTAACATGGTTTCTGTAAAGGGAAATCATGCTTTACTAATGTACTAGAGTTCTTTGAGGGGGTCAACAAACATGTGGACAAGGGGGATCCAGTGGATATAGTATACTTAGATTTCTAGAAGGCCTTTGACAAGGTCCCTCACCAAAGTCTCTTAAGTAAAGTAAGTTGTCATGGGATAAGAGGGAAGGTCCTCTCATGGATTGATAACTGTTTAAAAGACAGGAAACAAAGGGTAGGAATAAATGGTAAGTTTTCAGACTGGAGAGTGATAACTAGTGGTGTCCCCTAAGAGTCAGTACTGAGACCAATCTTATTCAATCTATTTATAGATGATCTGGAGAAAGGGGTAAACAGTGAGGTGTCAAAATTTGCAAATGATACTAAACTGCGCAAGATAGTGAAGACCAAAGCAGACTGTGAAGAGCTTCAAAAAGATCTCACCAAACTAAGTGATTGGGCAACAAAATGGCAAATGAAATGCAATGTTGATAAATGTAAAGTAATGCACATTGGAAAATATAATCCCAACTATACATACAATATGATGGAGACTAATTTAGCTATAACTACTCAAGAGAGAGATCTTGGAGTCCTTGTGGATATTTCTCTGAAAACATCCATTCAATGTGCAGCACCAGTCAAAAAAGCAAATAGAATGTTAAGAATAATTAAAAGGGAGAGAGAATAGGAAAGATAATATTGTTTCTGTATAAAACCACAGTATGCCCACATCTTGAATACCGCATACAGTTGTAGTCGCCTCATCTCAAAAAAGATACATTGGCATTGGAAAAGGTTCAGAAAAGGGCAACAGAAATGATTAGGGATTTAGAATGGGTCCCATACAAAGAGAGATTAAAAAGACTTTGACTTTTCAGTTTAGAAAAGAGGAGACTAAGGGGGGTATGACAGAAGTCTGTAAAATCATGACTGGTGTGGAAAAAGTGAATAAAGAAAAATTATTTACTTGTTCCCATAACATAAGAACTAAGAGTCACCAAATGAAATTAATAGGTAGCAGGTTTAAAACAAACAGAAGTTTTTCTTCACATAGTGCACGGTCGGCCTGTGGAACTCCTTGCCAAAGGAGGCTGTGAAGGCCAGGACTTTAACAAGGTTCAAGAAAGAACTAGATAAATTCATGGAGGTTAGGTCCAGCAATGGCTAATAGCTGGGATGGGTAGGAATGATGTCCCTAGCCTCTGTCAGAGAGTGGGAATGGGTGATGGGAGAGGGATTGCTTGTTGATTCCCTGTTCCGTTCACCCTCTGGGACATCTGGTATTGGCCACTGTCAGAAGACAGATACTGGACTAGATGGACCTTTGATCTGACCCAGTATGCCTGTTCTTATGTTCCTATGACATACCTTAGGGCTTCGGCATGTTTTAATCTGGCCCTGATCAAAATTCCTAACTCCTCTTGCTAAATGTGTGAGTGCTAACTATTGACTGTCCAGAAGCCACACTGGCTACAGAATCCACAGTGTGAAGTAGTTCACTCTTGTTTCTCATTTGTCCTTTAGGTCTTTCAGCAGCCAAGTTGCTGACTGAGTCAGGCCTGAGTGTTGTGGTGTTGGAAGCCCGTGACAGGGTTGGAGGAAGAACTTTCACTGCAAGGGTAAGAATCCCCACAAATAGTATCTACATTACTGTGCTGATTTCTGAGCAGAGTCACCTGTGTACTGAAGAACCCCTTTGGAGGGTGCAATTCCAGAAGGGAGGCAAGCAGGAAAGTCCTTGACTATGCAGAACCAGGTGTGGGGAAAAGTGTGGAGTGTCTGTGCTGGCACAGAATTTTCCAGACTATTTACAAGTTCTGGGATTATCACACCTCCTCTCCAATCTTTTCCACATGGAAGGAAAAGAGGATTCTGTATGTAGCAAAAACTCACCTTGCAATGACGCTCTACAGAACTGTCTGTAAAGAGACCTACTGCAGAGTTTTTGCCTCTGTGGCTTCCTCTTGCAGATTTTCTGTAAAACAGGGTAGGGAGGCAGGGAAGTTGGCTTAAAATACTCAATTAACAAATAGCTTTTCTGAATTACATTGTTTATCTCATGATAGATTGAAAATGCCTTGGCTCTCTTCTTTTGTCTTTTGGGAAACCAGAATAAGCAAGTCCAGTATGTGGACCTTGGAGGAGCATACGTGGGGCCGACACAAAATCGCATCCTGCGGTTGTCTAAAGAGCTAGGAATAGAGACATATAAAGTGAATGAAGTAGAACATCTTATTCACCATGTCAAGGTAAGGTCGGATGCATCTCTAAAAAACACTGATTTAGATGAGTGTAGATTGTTGTAATTTTATTTCAGTGGCGATGCCTTTTTAGAAAATGGGTAGCGACGTACTATAAACACGTTCTGCTAATGGATCCATTTGTGAAGTCTTAATGTAGTAATTTGTGCTTGCATATTGTGTCTTCAATTAAAAGATTTCAGAATGTGTTAAACTCAGTGTTTTTGATGGTGGTTACTGACTGATTTTTTTTGGTGCATAGCTGCCTGGCGCTGACTTTCAGAAGTGCTGAACACTGACAGCTCCTCCTAACATTTAGTAGAAGCTGTGGATATATCTTAAGTTGGGCACAGCTAAGATGGTGGCCACTTCTGAAAATTTTGGACAAAGAATTAAGCTTTCCAAGTCAAATATTAGGCCCGTTTTACAGATGGGGGAACTACAACACAGCTTAAGTAATGCTCTGATCTCACATAGTGCTGAGTGCCCTCGGAGTTGAGGGTGTTCAGAATCTTATGCAACTGGCTCCCAAATGACTCATCCAAGATCTGAAAGAAAGGACATCTATGTGGCAAAGCAAAAGCCCAGATGTTCTGAGTCCTTGTCCTATGCCTGACACAAAAGAATATCTTTCCACCTGTTAAACATGCAGTAATCATGCATCCGTCTAGAAGAGAGACTTTCAAAGTGTTACATTTACCCATATGGGTGTAATACTGTGGAAAGCTATTGTTATATGGTCTTGTGACAAGTGAAGTGTGCAGCCAGTAAAGTTTCAAGATTTTCGATGCGTAATTCAAATTTAAATAAAAATGTAACAGACTTAACAACTGCAATGAAAGATCTTCAGTGTCGTATTTTTTTCAACTATTTTTCCTGTCTGATTCTTATGAAAAAAGCCCCTTCTCAAAGCCAATGATGTAGCTTTTTATGCTGATGCTGAATAATTCTTACTACCACACCAGCATCAATAAGACCATGGGAATTGACTGTACATAATGTATCTTTCCTATTATAATAGGAATATAATTGATGGGATATCAAATACTGTCAAGGGTTAAATATTTATTTCTTTAAAGGTAAATGTTTTGATTTCATTACGATTATTTTTACCTCTTCTTTTCCATTTACTTCTCTATTTATCCCACAATGGAAGAATATTATTATAATATTATTGTCACGGATCTAAAGGTCATGCTTTGCCTCTTGTCCTTTAAACAGTTTTTCTTAGAAGGTATTTCGGTTAGTGATAGGCCAAAATCTCAAGGCAGGACCCTGTGATTCTACTACTTTGCGATTGGGTCCACGGTTTCATCTTTGCTTTGTGTCTCTGTTGCTTTTTCAGCAGATCCAAAGTAGTTTGGATCACAGTTGGAGAATTTCCTTCTTAAAAAGTGTGTAACCAGTGGATGTTTTTGGCGACCTCAGACAAAATTTTCAAAATAAGCCAGTATTAATTAGAAAACAGGAGCATGGTATTTAGGCATGTTGGGTCAAGAAAATAAATCAAAGCCAAAACACATAATTCTTACCTGACCTGACCGTTCGTCCTTGTTTAGTTAAGCCTGTTCCTCTTTGTCCTTGCAGCTAATCGCTCTCTGATCCTGTGTTTTGCCAACCTGTCATCGTTTCACATACACCCTGGGAAGTCCCTCACAGCTCACCCAGAACCCCTCCTTTTTCTAAGATCTTTGAGGTTTTCTAATGTTGTAGTGTTCTCTTTGATTTCTCTGTTCTTAGCCTGGACATAACAGTAGTGTTTCCAGGATTGGGCGGACGAGTTGCCTCTTCAAAGCTATGAACCTGGCTGTTGTGTTTGAACGTTCTTCTGGGATGTTCCTTATGTAGAACATTGTTTTACATTTTTTGCTTAATTTCTCTAACAAATTCTCTTGATCTCATGTTTTGCTCAATTTCTCTAACAAATTCTCATAGCAAGTAACCCAACATAAACACATATGAAGGCATGCATCATACACAAAAAATAATATGGTATGTTACAATGTATCATAAATAGAAACCTTAATTATAATTAAGTAAATAGGGTGAGTGCTTTAAATGAGGCAGGAACTTCTATTGTACAGCTAACTCCGTTTCTTAATCCTGGCTTCTTGCAATTTGATTTCTTGGTTATTATTTATAAATTGCGTAAGTATACAGATGTCTTGCCTTTAATCATTTAAGCTTCCAAAGCTTTTCCTCACAGTATTCCAGAAGCAATGCACACACCAAAGGCCAGTCTAGATGGTGACAAATGGTGTCTGCACCCTGAAATCTAGGGGAAGATATCAAAACTTTTGACCGAAGTTCTGTCCTGTCAACTGAATTTCAAAGTGTCCAAAAGTCTGCCAGCTCTAAATGGATTCAGATCCAAACACTAACTCCAAACTTTGTAGTGCAGGCCAAATCTACTAATGTGACTCTTGGGGAATTGATGAAATCTAATTTTTCTATTCTCTTTACAGTATTCTATCAGAAATCCCTGTACATCTTTTAAAATTAGCTACTGCTTTTATGTATACCCAAGAGCAAAATCAAGCCCTTTAAAGTCAATTTAGTTCATTTCAGTGGTTTTTTAAAATCTGAATAATGTATGGTTCTTTGTACAGCAAAATTAAATACTGTGCCTTGTTTATCTCTGAGTAAGTCCCTCCTCATTAGGCTTTGTCATCTAGATTTGGTTCTGCATTTATTTCTCTTTAATCTTCTTTAAGTACCCAGTTCTATTGCATGATTTTTTTCCTCCTTGCTTTTTGCATTGTTTGATACCTTTATAGACGTTTGAACATAGTAATTCTTGCTCTGCATATTTTGTTTTGGTGAACAGTGATGTCTCTCTTTGCTAGTCTTTTAAAGGAGATTAAATCTACATACTGTATTTGCTTTTGCTTGCTATTGCATCAGCCTTATTTAGAAAAATAATCATAGCTCTGGGAATAGTGTGTGCTGGTTTCTGCAAGTTAAAGCCAGCAGAAGCAATGTATGCTTATATGCCAGAATTTACAAACATGCATGTCTAATATTAAGATCCTAAATATATGATTTTTATTGAGCTGTTTAAGTAACTGAATTTTCAAAGGTTCTAAGTGCTTGCAGTTCCTGTTCACTTGATTTGTGGGAGATAAATATTTCTTAAAATCAAACTATTTTTATATAGAAGCCTCTTGTATAGTGATTTAAGAAAATGTTGTCCAGAGGTTTTATTTGTCTTATCAAAATGCTGACTATTGTTTCTACAGGCAATCATGTTGGATTAAAAAAAAAACCCAGACAATATATATATAATCCAGATATTTGCCATCTGTTTACATTACTGTTAATTTATATCAAGCATGGGACAAAAATCCTTCTAAAGGAGTGCATTTAAATATGGATGTGGATTTACCAAATTATCAGCAGAGCTGCCTATTGATGTGACTGTTATTGTATCTCAAAGCCCTTTAGGCTAATCCCATTATCAATGCCTATATGATCATGAAAATTTTGTGTTTAAAACAACGATCTGCAATTTTTATCATATACAAAAGAGAAATTTATTTGTCAGGTGTAATGGCTGGAATTAGGAGGTGGTGCTAAAAAAAATCTGTGCATAGAAATACTAGAAGATTTACCCAGCATTGCTTGGGTCCTTAACTCAAATAAGTTTTGTTTTTCTTCATTTAAATAATTGTTCTGAAGTGGGGCTTGGGATGAGGGGTTCAGTATGCAGGGGGCCCTGGGGAGAGAGGACAACGCCAGCCCTCTGTCACTGCAGCAGCTTGAAGTCAGGTGAGAAGTGCCTCTCCATGGCTGCTGCAGCTGGCACAGCTGGAGGAGAAGTGCATACCCCAAGTTGGGAGACAGACAGACACACAAACTGACCTACACAAACAAACAAACTCTCTGAAACTTATAGTAGATAGCTGTCTCTCTCTTCACCCTGTCCCTTGCTGTCCGGTCCCCATCTTTGGCCCCTGGCTGCCCCTGTAGTCATTTTATGGTTTAACTCCCTCCTACCAGACTCTTTCCTTTCCTCTTTATGAGATACTATCGAATCCCACATGTATCCCGTTATTCTGGCACAATCATACCCTGACCTTGCTTTAAGTTATGATAAGAGGATGCTGCAGACCAAATTTGGTGGTCCTAGCTCTTACCATTTAGGAGGAGTTCTTGAAAAAATGAACTCACAGCCAGAGTGAGTATAATGTATAGTAAGATTTTATTGACGTGTTTGAAATTAATGATCCTCCAATTTTGAGTTTAAAAAGTGCTTCTTTCCCATAAAAAGAGAACAGTCCACCCTTGCAACAACACATCTCATGCCAACATGCTCATGTCTGTGATCTCATCTTTCCCATTCCCATCTGCAGAGAATTTCCAGATGCTCTTGCCAGCATCACAACATTCCATTTTACACCTGTGTTTCAGCAGCCTGACAGAGCTCACTCCTCCAAGGCAATCCATGAGACTAGGGTGGACTCACTAGTGCTCTTTTTATGATACAGCTCTTCATTATAATTCACACTCATGTTTCTTGCCACCATCCAGAACTGTTCGTAATGGAATATCGTGTTTCTTATGTTGCATGTGTCTTATGGCATCGCTGTAAGAGGTAACAACACATTTATCTTTTAAAACTCCCTGGGTGCGTCTAGACTGGCATGATTTTGCGGAAATACTTTTAACGGAAAAGTTTTTCCGTTAAAAGTATTTCCGCAAAAGAACGTCTAGATTGGCACAGATGCTTTTGTGCAAAAGCATCCGGGCCCAGTATAGACGCGCTTTTGCGCAAGAAAGCTCCTATGGCCATTTTAGCCATCGGGTTTTCTTGCGCAAAAAATTAAGATGCCTGTCTACACTGGCCCTCTTGCGCAAGTATTCTTGTGCAAGAGGGCTTATCCCTGAGTGGGAGCATCAAAGTATTTGCGCAAGAAGCACTGAATTCTTACAGTAGAAAGTCAGTGCTCTTGCGCAAATTCAAGTGGCCAGTGTAGACAGCTGGCAAGTTTTTACATAAAAGCGACTGC